GGGAGGGATGTACGTCTGCATGGACGTGGGCCATAACAAAACGAATATACCTTCTTGCCCTGAATAGAACGTACTGTCATTTTCGCTGCATCTGGACTGAAAGGTGAGCCAAATACGGATATAAAAATGACCGTACGTTTTATTCGGGAAAAGATGGTAGAAGCAAGCCCGTGCGCTATGCAAGAGGTTGCTGATTAATTTAGTGATCGAGTGATTAAATCATTCAGCACCCCCTTAATTAGTCGATCAACCAAATGCAGCGAGGACGGATCAATCAATCCATTGCTCGGTTGCTGAATGGATGGATAGATGAATAGATGGATTGATTAGGGGATTGATTATTGATGGATTGATGGATGGATTAGTGGATTGGGTGATGCGTAGATTGCTGATTGCTGATTGTCCGCACCGACGCATGGGATTGATGGAGTGATGGATTTGGTAGTGGGCATGATTGACGGATTGATGGATTGAGATGGGTGAATGGAGGGATGGAAGGACGGATTACCACCACCTTATCTACCACTTCACTTCAGTTCCTCTCTCCTCTGTGTCGCCCTCGTCGTAGAAATACTCAAAGAGTAACCGACTCTCTCTCTCTCTTCTCTCTCTCTCTCTCTCTCTCTCTCTCTCTCTCTCTCTCTCTCTCTGTGTGTGTGTGTGTGTTTGTTGTGACTGTGGGGTTTTTCTTTCCCTCTCCTCCGTGAATGAGAAGCAAAAGCGGACGTGTTTCGTTGCAATCTCGTATAAACCAACTCTCTCTCTCTCTCTCTCTCTCTCTCTCTCTCTCTCTCTCTCTCTCTCTCTCTCTCTCTCTCTCTCTCTCTCTCCCTCCCTCCCTCCCTCCGTGTGTGTGTGTATCTGACTGTGGGTTTTTTGCCTTCTCTCTGCTCCCTGGATGGGAAGAAAAAGCGGGCGTGCTTCGCTGCAATCTTGTATCAACCAACCAACCGAGCGATGCAGCTACTACCAACTACTACCAACCAACCAATCAATCAATCAATCAATTCATTGATCTATCCATCTATCAATCTATCAATCAATCCATCGATCTATCAATCAATCAATTGATCAACCAATCCACCAACAATCAATCGATCAACCAGTCAATCAATCAATCAATCAATCAATCAACGAGGTAAGCAAATGCTAAGCAAACAATGCGAATTAATGAATGAATGAATCAATCAATCAATCCATCCCGTAATCACCATACAGTCAAGCTGTCTCACCGACAATCAAGAAGAAACCGAACGAGGAAAACTTGTGACCGACTGTGCTCTCAAATTGCCAACTACCATCTTTCCCCGCACACAACGCATCCTGACAATGCATGTATACAATATTTCCGTCCAGATACAAACAAAACGAGGGCACGTTGTATTCGCGGGAAAACGGTAATCGCTCGACCGGATAAGGTTGCGCTCAAAAAAGTGTCACAAACCACACGATGCCGTCAAAAAAGGTTATCGCGATCGCCATTCTCAAGCGGTGGGTTTTGAATGTATCTGGACGGAAAAATTGAATACATGCATTGTCAGGATGCCCTTCGTCTAAACTTGCGAGAGGTAATTACAGCCGTCAAAAACGGTTATCGCCATCGCCATTCTCGTGCGGTGGGTTTTGAATGTATCTGGACGGAAAGATGGTATAAGTGCATTGCCAGGATGCGTTCCTACATCCTTTCTCTCTCATATACCGCCTTGATCATCTGTCCCCGAAGCCGTAGAATGAGAGGAGCCTACCTACTACCTTCGTCCCCCAAAATAGAACGTATATGGTCATTATGCCTGTATTTGGGGCAACTTCCAGTCCAAATACAGAAGTGATGACCATATACGTTCTATTTTGGGGAAGACGATCGCCGCTGGATCAGCGGCATGACGAAAGACAAAAACCAATCATCGAGGCAACGTAGGAACTCGACACATCCCCAACCTAATCCATCTGTTCATCCGAGGGAGGGAGGGAGGAGGAAAACGAGGAGGCTTGCAGAGTACAAAAGAGAGAGAGAGAGAGGTCATAACGGCGAAGAGGTTTAAGGGATATAGGCTGACTAGGTTCGGGGCCAGGGAGAAAGAAGAGAGGGGGGGAGAGAGAGAGAGAGGGAGAGGAGTTCTCTCTCCTCGACATCTGGAAGAGGAGACCTTACCAGCTGTGACCGGGGGCAACAGAAAATGCATTCTCTGCTCGCTCTCGAGAGAAAGAAAGAAAGAAAGAGAGGGAGTGAGGGAGGAAGAGTGGGAGGGAGTAAGCAAAGGAGAGGGAGGGATAGAGAGGGAGGGAGGGAGGGAGGGAGGGAGGGAGATTAGAGTTCCATATCCTCGATATCAGGAAGAGGAAACCTCAAGATGGCAGCAACACCAGTCATCTGCGCAAGTTGTTCCCCAGAGACATGCATGGACGAGAATATGTGAACCTGGCCTCCACTCTCCTTGACGCTCTCTACGAGTGCCACGTAGCGTTTTCTTGTCGCGACGTTGGCATTCCTAAATAGGGAATCTGTTACAAGCAGCACATCCACCGCTAATCTCTCCTGCGCCGCCTCCACATGCTTCAATCCATAGAAAGCTCTGGCCGAGTCGCTCGATAACATCGAGAAGAATTCTTCCAACGCCATCACCTCCTTCGCCGCTTTAGTGTCCTTGATCTGCCCCTGCACTGAAGGGGAAGCCAGCACCTCCTTGAGAGCGTGTTTGTACCCAGACGATGCGTGGGTCAAGATTATTTTCGATTTGTTGTCGATAATCTGTCTCAGATCCCGTCTAGATGCTTCCAACAACATGTAACTGTGGAACTGGTCCTTTGTGAATCCTGGGCTTGCAAGAATCAAGCATTTGACGATAGAGAAGTCGACATGACGTAAGATGGACTGCAAGATGTTTTCGAAGAAGCGATTCAAAGCTTTGTCGTACCCGGCTATGGCGGCGCCTCTCTTCCTCGGGATTGCCGATTCAATTCGCGCGCGAACGACAGTCATGCTCCCGCCAAAAAGGCACACGTTGGCCAGTCCTTCTTGCATGAGAACGGCTGCCACGTCAGCACTGGCGCAGGGATCCGTACACTGCTTCAGCCTATCTAACGCCAGGGAATCCCATTGACCCTTGCGCAGTGTGAACGGTCGTTGCTGCTCCAGCTCTAGAGTGTGATAAGCCCCGAGGCGGACGTGTTCGTTCTCCGTAACATTCTTCCCCCTTAGACGCAAAATGGAGGCGGTGGAATCGAATTCGATTGCCTCCACCTCCACACACAGATTTAACCTAACTCTCTCCGACTCGCTCCCTCCAGATGACGTCTCCTTTTGCACCTTGCGCACCGTTGTGGCACTCACCATATCTCCTTCTGCCACCAGATTGTACGCATGCCAGAGGTCTTCAGCATCGTCGGGGACAAGCTTGACGCTTCCGCCGCCATCTTTCGTCAGATTTTTGCGCAGAAGCTTCATCCTCGGTAGCTGGGGATGGCTGGGTGGGTGAACTCCTTCCTCCCTCTGACCCCCTCCTCTCTCTCTCTCCTTGTGCCTCGTCCTCCCTTCCACCCCTCCTCTCGCCCCCTCCTCTCTCCCCCTCCTCTCTCCCCCTCTCTCCCGCTTTCGTTGTGTGACGAGGAGTTATCGACAACGGACGGCAGTCGCTGAAAAGCACGCCGCCGACTTCCGCACCGCGGCGGCGGCGGCGGCAAAAACGCCGCCGATTACCGCGCGGCGGGATGCAGGAGGAGAGAGGGAATGGAGAGAGGAGGGAGGAGAAGAGAGAGGAGAGAGAGACGGGTTGGATAAGAATTTACGCAGCAACAGCTCGAACGGTAGTAATGGAGGTGAACGCTCACGTAGACCGTGCAAGAGGCAGGAGGGAGAAAGGAGAAGGAGGAGGAGGGAGGAGAGCGGAGGGGGAGGAAGGAGGAGGGAGGAGCGAGGAGGGAGGAGGGACGAAAGCCAGAGGGAAAAGGAGGAGGGAGGCGGACACAAGTTGGACACGTGTTTTACGACGAACGCTTTCTCTCACGTAGATCGTGCCCGACGCGAACGACCGAGGATGAAGAAATGGGAAGACGTGGATTATTTTTTGCTCCTGAAGAAGAAGAAGACCAGCAACGATACACGGCAGTTTTCAGACGGGAACGACCAGCGAAGAAGAGGAGAAGAAGTGGGATGCTGTGGATGAATTGCCTCTCAACAGGTAAACGAGTGGAAAAGCATCATGAATATAAGTTACGGTAGTTAAGCAATATAGATCAGAGGAAAAGGGATGTGGCCACATTACTGTCCAAACGCCCAAGGAAACGCCGATAGGCAAAGGCGAAAGGCGCTGAGGTTCCAGGAAAAAAAAAAAAAAAAAAAAAAAAAAGGAGAAATTTGCAAAATACCCCCATCAGTTGAGTTATATGCCCTTTTGGGGCGAAATCTTTGTGTTGTGCCCCTGTCAGGCGGGTGTGCAACGTTGCAATCTGGACCTCCTGCCCGTTTGGGCCTTGGCCTTTTGCAATAGCGCCTAGGAAAAGTTGGCAAGTGCTGACCCAGGGGCATTTTGCAACGTTGGACGGTACCCGGTAGGGGTATATTGCAAGGACGGGGATCCAACCGATGCTAGGGGCATTTCACAAACTAGTTTTTTTGTCAGAGGGGTATTAGGCTCTACCCACATCTTTTAGGGGCATTTGGCATATATCTCAACTTATGGGAGTATTTTGCAAAGTAACTCAAAAAGAAAAAAGGAGCTGAGGTTATGAAAAAAAGTCAACCCGCCGTGGCGAAGCCGCAGCCCAGCGGCAGCCCCACCCCCAGCACGGCCATTATCCGGCCCGGGTGACAATTAGGGCATACTCACACGGGGACCTATTGTCTACTGCGTGGGCGCGGGGAACGCAGCCCTAAGGTAGCCAAATCAATGAGACTAAGAGCTCGCACAAGGGAGAGAGAGAGAGAGAGAGAGAGAGAGTTGTTTCATTTATTGTTATGAGTGTGAGAGAGA